CCCATTCTAGGCCATCTAGTGAGCGGTATTCCAGCAAGATACCCCCGATATTGACCCAAATCAGAAAAGATTCTACCTGGGCACTACCGACTAGATACTTGGAGTCCACTTCTCGAGGTACAACTGACTCCATTGGAAATGCAGGGACCAGAGTTGAACACCCATTTACTAGTAGTAGCAGACGGAAATTGGAAGACAAACAGGTGAGAACCAAATCGTAAGACACGAACCGCTCCCTCTCTCCCCCTCGGATAGCAGTAGCCCAAGACTGCGGGTTTTGCTAAACCCAAACCCATGGGTTTATCCATAAAAAACCCGAGATAAAACCCAGTGGGTTTGGAAAACTCAAACCCAACCCAACCCGCTAGGTATCCGCGGGTTCATGGGTACCCATGGATTTTTGTCGTAAAAAATTTACAATTACAAGTTCCTATGAAAATAAAAGTCAAATATCCATCTCTCAATACAAATTACCCATATATAAAACATCATTCTAGAAAATTCAAGCAAATTACATACACCAATATAGAAAACTCAAGAAAATTGAAGCAAATCACAAATTATGCATAAACAACATGATTAATTGAAAGCTTCTTCCTCCTTGTTAATTAAACTTCTTCACTCTCCACTCCATAATATCAATTTCATTCTACACAACTAGAAATAAAAAATTAGACATGCCTACACAACTAGAAATAAAAAATATTCAACGAAAAACATAAAGAAATATTAGCTGTTTAGAATATTAAATATAGCGGAAAAATTAACTATATGGGCATGAGCGGGTATTCATGGGGCGGGTATACCTAAACCCAAACCCAATCCGATAAATAGTGAACGGGTTTAAACCCGAACCCGACCCAAAACCCGTCAACACGAGTTTTACACGCGTTGATCGGGTTGGGTCGGGTAGGGCAGAGGCGGAGCTCCACTCAAGCTAGGGTGCCCCCCTCCCCTCGGGATTGGTCCCGGCCCCTAGGATAGTAAGGATATTTAGTACATATTTTATAATTAGAACTTGTTCCGTAAATTTTGTTGTGTAATAGTCATGTGGTCTAATGGTAGCCAAGCTTGACTTGTGTTTTAAAAAATAGTAGAGGGGCATGCTTGATAAAACGTCATAGTAGAGGGGCATATTATACCTATAACCCTTTTGTTTAATTATTTTCGGGCCCCGATCTCAAAATCCTGGCTCCGCCCCTGGGGTAGGGTACTCGTGGATTCGGGTTTTGTTGCCATACCTAATTGCAATTGACCCACCTTAGGTTGAGATCCTACTATTTTGTTGCTATTTTATTGCATCGTGAATTTTATGTTTAAAATTTCAAATCTTTGAAATCTCGTATAAGGAAATTTTACATATTGGTTTATGATATATTTTTTCCTTCCCTTTCTTCATTTATCCCTTCAAAATATTTGCATTCTCCAAATAATAATTTATTATTATTATTTTGGTTAAGGAAAAATATGTTAATTGATACAAAATGAATTTTTTATTTAGCATTAAATATTAACAATCACGTTATCAAACAATAAATATTTTAATATATTTTTCACAATCTAGAATGTTACAATTATTACATTTTTGAGAATTCATTGATTAATACTCCAATTCTCCAAATTAATCATAACCTACCATTTGGTATAAATGAATTTCATAAGTTTTAAAATATACATTTTAAATAAAATATTTTTATGTTTGGTATTTAAAAGAATTTATTTTCAACTATAAATTAAATTTTACAAAATTTGAACTAGCAATAGAAATTGAGATGAAATTTTCAAATAAATTTCACAAGTATTTTTCTAATTATAATAGAATGACATAATTATTTTCATCTATTAACAACATTACTTCCACAGGCCAATACACAGATTATGCACGCCTAACCCTCCTCTTTTTGCCAGTATGTTAACCTAATATACATAGTTTCTCCTAAACTCTGCATTCTGGGGTGACTCCAAATTTCATTATGAGGGCTAAGCGGCAACCTTCTATTTGGCATTGGAACCAACTCTTTTGCTATTTTCAGATGAATAATAACATTTTTTCACTTGCATTTTTTAGAAGATGGAGTTTCAAAGAATATTGTTTCTACCGGAAATTAATAAGGATGTAGTTGGACGCTTTTAATTAAATTCACGTTTGAACGTATGTCAAACATGGTTTCAAAATTTAATCCACTTTATTTCTAACAATTTGAATATAACATACCAAACACAAAATTTCATTTCACAATAAATTGCACATAATTCATTTTAAAATGAAATGAATTATGACAAAATATTTTATAAGTCTTCAAAAGTCAGCATAAAAATAATGTTTTGTTTCACGAATAACATAGAAAGTTAAAAACAATGTTGATGACCGCTAATAATGAAACTTATCACAACCCCGCTTTCATCAACAAATGCAAAGGTGGGGGGCGGGGATGGAATTCATCTCTTTGATGATTGAACGGTGACGCAAATCAACTTTTGGGAGCTCAATCAAAAGTAACGTGCTAGCAAAGGCGAAGTAACTGCAGAATGGGACCTGACCTGGGCTGGGCATTCTCATTTTTCCCCCCCACTCCGTACTAAAATCGCGAAATGTACGACAAGAAATGTTACGTCCCCAACCCAACCTTCCCCAACCTCAAGCTAACAACAAAGTTGAGTTGGGGGAAATGAAACCCTAAAAGTCTTGGGTATTTCTCATTCATATTTGGGTTTAAATAGGCAAAAGCTTTGCACTACAAGACAACATGTGCAAGCTAGCATTTGGAGACTACAAAGAGAAAACATAACTCAAACTAAAGTCTAAACAAACATTGACATTAAACTAAACTTGATGATGATGATTTACTCCAAACCTTGTCGATCCACTTTGACATTCATGGTCGCCGGTTTGAGTTTTGACGATAACTTGAAATATCTCCTGATACCCCCCCGCAAGCGGGTGAGCATAGAATGTGCACACCAAGCTTGGAGAGAATACTAGCGGGTGAGCATAGAATGTGCACTTCTCTTCAATCTTCAAATGGTGAAGCTACTGCATCTAGCTAGCTAACTTCCCAAACATCTTCTGAAAAGCTGCTGCATCTGTGGCTAGCTAGCTATGAAAACTTCTTCTTCTTCAACTGGTGATACCACTGCATCTTTGGCTAGTTGGCATCCCATCTTGATCTTCTTCTTCTCTTCTTCACCTTCTCTTCTTCTTCTTCAACTCCTCAACCCCCAACTCAGCTTTGTAGCTTGAATTTCTCCAATTGAACTCAGATAAGCCGCTGCATTTGTAGCTAGCTAGCTTTCCGGTATTCTTCTTCAACTCCTCAACCCCCAACTTCAGCTACATAGCTTCAGTTTCTCCAGTTTTGATAGGATATGCTGCTGCTTTTTCTTGGCTAACAAGCACTCCTTCAATCGAAAACGCCGCTGCATCTTGGCTAGCTGGCTCAACTTTCTCATCTTTAGCTTTTCTGCTTTAGATGGATCTTCAAAGTGGTCCGGATATGTTGCTGCTTATTTTGCTAGCTAACATTCCATCCGAAATATGGGCCGGATATGCTGCTGCTGATTTTGCTAGCTAGCATTCCATCCGAAAAACAATATAAAATCAGCAGGGGAGTGCTCGGTTGGCTACTTCCCTCTACTCCTTCAACTTGAAGAGGATATGCTGCTGCTTCTTTAGCTAGCAAGCATTCCAGAAAATTTTGATTTCAAACTCAACAGGGGAGTAAGCTTCTTCCCGCTGCTGCATCATCTCAGGCTGCTGCCTTCACTTCCACTTGCTGAAACAGAAACAAGGATTTGTGCTTGTGACTGCTACTGCTGAAAACCTGTTTTTTTTCTTCGGATTGCAGTTTTTTTTTTTTTTTTTAATGTGCTGCCCCTGAACTTGCAGCACCTTTCTTCTTTATTTGTTGCTTTCTTTGTCAAACTCAGAGCTGGGAAGTTGAGATTCTTGCTGTGCAGGAGGTAGCAGTGGCTTCGCCTTCCCACACATTCATGAAACTCAGCATAAAATCATTCAATCTTTTGATATCCTGCAAAGAACAAATCTGGCCAATCTGCCCACTCTTCACAGGCTCAATCACATTCTCACAAAAAATCTGCTCAAAGACAACCTTCAGAGCTTCCATTTCATTCACTGTAATGAACTTCATCCAAACAGAATCTCTAACTTGACCAACAACTCTATTATCGGCAGTTTTCTTCTTCTCGTTCAATAGGGAAATTCCAAACTCTGGTTTAAAGAACTCACCTCCCTCTTCTGGGTATTCCCCAGTGACTGTGAAGTACATTTCCTTGTGCCCTGTAATCATCCGTCGCCTCAAACTGTTGATATTGAACATCAACCCTTCCAGTTTCTTCCTCTGGGATATGGCTCTGGTTGCGGTAGACAGCTTCTTCACGAGCTGTATTTCGACAGCAGAAATCAGGGGATGCATCTGGAAGACGGTTCCAGTTCTGTCTTCACCGGACTGAGTACGAGCGCCGGTGCTGGGAAAGTCGGAGCTTGTCGTCGGTGTAGTCTTTATCTATCGCCTGTCTTGTTCGCAATACTTCTGGATCTCGCTTTCGTTCTCCGGCTGCTCCTCGAGGATCCCGCCGTGAAACGTGGTCGCGGGTTTCAGAGGATTGGGAAAGATGTCTTCGCCGGAGTTGGGGATTTTTCTGGTGAATGTTTTCTGGCGAGATGAGGAGACGAAGTGATGAAGGACTCGTGAGATTTGGGTTCGGGACGGCAAAATCAAGCGCTGGCGATGAAAGGCACAGATCTGATTGAAAGAAAAAAAATTGGATTTTCTTTTGTTGGTGAAAAACAAAGAGTGGCGAAGAGATTGGGATGGAAATGACAATCGGGGGAATGGTTTGAGATTTGGAAGTTTGGGATGAGATACGAAGATGAAAATGGAACAGAAAACTGGATCTGTTCAAGAATGGAAGAGAGTAAAGTATGGGTTTTTCTGGGAGACTGAAAGGAATGGAGTCACTGGTCGAATAGTTGGAGATGGGTTTGGGGAAAGAGATGGAACGAGGAAGAAAGAATTCCTTTTTTGTTAGGGTTTACATCTGAAAATTTTCAAATCTGGACATAGTCCTTATTTTTGTGGGTAGAAGGTTTTTAGGGTTCTCTTGGATCTAGAGGCTCTGATACCATAACAACAAAGTTGAGTTTGGGGAAATGAAACCCTAAAAGTCTTGGGTATTTCTCATTCATATTTGGGTTTAAATAGGCAAAAGCTTTGCACTACAAGACAACATGTGCAAGCTAGCATTTGGAGACTACAAAGAGAAAACATAACTCAAACTAAAGTCTAAACAAACATTGACATTAAACTAAACTTGATGATGATGATTTACTCCAAACCTTGTCGATCCACTTTGACATTCATGGACGACGGTTTGAGTTTTGACGATAACTTGAAATATCTCCTGATCTGATCTGATCTTGAACCTCAACTCACCCCGCAACCAATTCCATCCCTTTCCCCTCCCACAATATAACTCTGCTTTCGCTCGGGGTCGAGCGATTTTGTAGCTAGAACCCACCAATCGGATGATCGTTTCCTCCTCTATGGAGGAAGACGATCGGCCGATCATTGGGTTCCCTCTGGGTTTGGTTCTTCTGCTGCTCATTCTGCTCTCCATGAGCGCCGTCTTCATCTGCTGCCTCCGCTGGGACAATCATCGTTCATTTCGGGACGTTCCTGATGATGATGATGATGAAGCCCATGATTTTCCGCCACTTAAATCTTCGCCTCTTCAACTGGTACGCTACTCGTCGTACTTCCTGCCAACTACTCCCCCCAATTGCTCTGTTTTTCAGTTTTCTTTCTGCCCTTTGTGTGCATAGTTGTAAATTGAGTCTTGGCCTTCTGTGTGGCATTTCGTCGAACAGAAAGCGAGCAAGAATCGAGGGGAGAGCCTGCCGGTGTTGATGCCGGGAGAGCAAGTGCCCAGATTCATAGCCATGGCTTGCCCCTGCCAGCCGCCGGTTCTGGAGACGATTCAAGTGGATTTTGAGAAGCCCATCAGCACATTTCCCGTCCCTCCCCTGTTTTAGTATCTCTTCCATCGATATGGGTTTTGTCGTATATAATCCGACTGTTACCAACATCTACCTATCTTCTTATGTACAGATATATGATTTTTGGGATTCAATTTTCTTCTCATCTTCGTGTTTGAAGAGCCGTAAGAATAGGCAATAGCGTTATTCTGCTAACTGTGTTAGTAGTTAGCATATACTAACACGGTGAGTTGAGGAGCCACGTAGGCGAGCCGCGATCGGACGGTGGAGGAGAAAAAGAGCAGCTTGTGGCTCGGCTGAACCAAGCCTCTTCCTTTTTTTTTTTTTTTTTACAATTCAAAAAAACCCAACCTTTTCATTTATGTTTAATTTTCTTTTCTCTCTCCATCATTTCATTTTCCTTTCTCTCCCATTCTCCAAAACTGCTCTCTTCTGTTCTTCTTCTTCTTCCTCTCTCTCTCCCAAATAATTCAAAATACCTCTCGACAACGACGGGTGTGAGAAACACGACGCCGGCGACGAGGGCTACGGGCAGGAAGAAGACGGCGGTGCTTGGCAACGCCGGTAGCGGTGCTTGAAGAAAGACGAAGTCGGCCGAGCAAGAAGGAAGACATCGACGCTAGTAGCGCGAGGAAGACGACTACACCAGCTGCGAAGAGAAGAAATTTTTTGAGGTAAGCATCTTCCTTTGATGTAGGTGTTTTGGATCTGAGATTCATTGTTAGGGATCTGGGATTCTTGTCGGGGGATTTGAGATTCGATTTGGGGGATCTGGGATTCTTTTGATTTGGGGGATTTGGATTTCTTTCGATTTGGGGGATCTGGGATTTTCTGTGGCTGGATTACATATATTTGATTTAGGGTTTCATAGATTCGAATGGATCTGAGTTTTTTTTTTTTTTTGCTTCGTTTAGATTCGACTGGATCTGAGATTCATTTTTAGGAATATGGGATTCTTGTCGGGGGATTTGAGATTCGATTTGGGGGATCTGGGATTTTCTGTGGCTGGATTACATATATTTGATTTAGGGTTTCATAGATTCGAATGGATCTGAGTTTTTTTTTTTTTTGCTTCGTTTAGATTCGACTGGATCTGAGATTCATTTTTAGGAATATGGGATTCTTGTCGGGGGATTTGAGATTCGATTTGGGGGATCTGGGATTTTTTGTGGCTGGATTACATATATTTGATTTAGGGTTTCATAGATTCAACTGGATCTGAGTTTTTTTTTTTTTTTTGCTTCGCTTTTTGGATCTGAGATTCATTATTAGGGATCTGGGATTCTTGTTGGGGGATTTGAGATTCGATTTGGGGGATTTGGGATTCTTTTGATTTGGGGATTTGGATTTCTTTCGATTTGGGGGATCTGGGATTTTCTGTGGCTGGATTACATATTTTTGATTTAGGGTTTCATAGATTCGACTGGATATGAGTTTTTTTTTTGCTTCGTTTTTTGGATCTGAGATTCATTGTTAGGGATCTGGGATTCTTGTTGGGGGATTTGAGATTCGATTTGGGGGATCTGGGATTCTTTTGATTTGGGATTAGTTATATTGGCTAAAAAAAATAAACTGATGTGTTTGATGTGTGGATATCACTTCTGTTAATGTGGATACCTATCTGTTCGTTTTAGTTTTTTTTCTAGGTATTATGGATATTTTTTCATGGATATCAGTTATCTCCGTTTGGATACACTTTTGCTTTACTACGATAATAATTGTATGTATTTGCAAAAAAAAATAAACTGATGTGTCTGATGTGTGGATATCAGTTCGTTAATGTGGATACTTAAATGTTCGTTTTAGTTATTTTTCTGGGTATTATGGATATTTTTTCATGGAATCAGTTATCTCCGTTTGGATACACTTTTGCTTTACTACGATAATAATTGTATGTATTTGCAAAAAAAATAAACTGATGTGTCTGATGTGTGGATATCAGTTCGGTTAATATGGATACTTAAATGTTCGTTTTAGTTATTTTTTTGGGTATTATGGATATTTTTTCATGGATATCAGTTATCTCCGGTTGGATACACTTTTGCTTTACTACGATAATAATTGTATGTATTTGCAAAAAAAAAAAACTGATGTGTCTGATGTGTGGATATCAGTTCGGTTAATGTGGATACTTAAATGTTTGTTTTAGTTATTTTTCTGGGTGTTATGGATATTTTTTTCATGGATATCAGTTATCTCCGTTTGGATACACTTTTGCTTTACTACGATAATTGTATTGTATATAAGTGTGCGTTTTAGTTATTTGTCCAAGGATTATGGATATTTTGCTTAATATATAACTGTGTTTCAGGAACAACCCGGGATGAAGAGAACGAAAATGGTTGCATCGAGATCTCGTCAAGGAGAAAAAACAAGGCAGCCTGCTATTCCAGAAGTTGTGAATTTCATTTGGATTTGCATGTGTGATGTAGTACGAACTCATCCTAGTAATTAGTAATTAAGCAATGGTTTCAACTTTCACGGGGAACTTGGATTTGTATGTATGACCAAGAACGATAAAACAGTACCAAAAAGTTAGTGGTAGAGTACTTTGTTTTGAATCCGTGGTGTACCTGTCATTTCAGTTGTTTCACTACGGGGAAAACAATCTGAAACCATGCTGCTCAGATTCAATTAAATATCCAGACAACCCAGACAAATACCCAGACAACCCAGACAAATATCCAGATAACCCAGACAAATATCCAGACAACCCAGACAAATTATTTAAAATAACTATCAGTTTCTTAGTAAAAAGTATTAAAATCTTTTCAAAAAATATCCACAACACACAAACAAATATCCACTATTTGTACCCTAACCCTAAACCCTAAACTTTAAACTCTATCACCCTAATCACTAAACTATAAAAAAATAAAACTATTATTGTTTTCCCAAGCTGATAATATTCAAAGGTTCCAGAAAAATATCCAAACACATGAACTAAGGGAATATTTCATCGGGTTCAAATAAATATCCACACAACCCGGAAACAAATCAAAATATTTTGAATAAATATCAGTATGTCAGAAACAAGTATTACAATTAGGAAACACAAGTATCCACAACACACAAACTAATATCTAATATTTGTACCCTAACCCTAAACCCTAAAACCTAAACCCTAAACTTTAAACTCTATCACCCTAATCAATAAAACACTAAAAAAATAAAACTATTATTGTTTTCCCAAGCTGAGAATATTCAAAGGTTCCACACAAATATCCAAACACATGAACTAAGAGAATATTTCATCAGTTTCAAATAAATATCCACACAACCCGGAAAAAAATCACAATATTTTGAATAAATATCAGTATGTCAGAAACAATTATTACCACTAGGAAAGACAAGTATCCACAACACACAAACTAATATCTACTATCTGTATATCAGAAACAAGTATTACAACTAGCCAAAACAAGTATCCACAACGCACAAACTAATATCTATTATTTGTACCCTAACCCTAAACCCTAAACTTTAAACTCTATCACCCTAATCACTAAACACTAAAAAAATAAAACACATGAACTAAGGGAATGTTTCCTCAGGTTCAAATAAATATCCGCACAACCCGGCTAAATATCCGCAGATTCAAATAAACTCTATCACCCTAAACTCTAAACCCTAAACCCTTAACCCTAAACCCTAAACAATGAACACTACTAAATAAACTCTAAAAACAATATAATTAGGAAAGAATATATATTTATACTGACTAGACTAAATCTTAAACCCTAAAGAGAACCCAAACCCTTATGTTGAAACATTAACCCTAACCTCTATACCGTAAACCATAAACCAAACCTAAACAATCAACCCTAAAAATAAACTATAAACAATAAAAACTAATATTATTTAATGGGCCTTCGGCCCATGGGCCCTCGGCGGGCAGCCCTAACTAAGGTTGCAAGCCTTACGTGTTAGGACTTGATAGTGTGTAGGACTTGCTAGTGTGTTTAATTTGATGTAAGACACAATATTCCAATCTTTCACAAATTGAAAACCAGAACTCTAAACCCTAACACTAATTCTCTAAATTGGTGTAATCAGAACCCGGAAAAAAATCACAATATTTTGAATAAATATCAGTATGTCAGAAACAATTATTACCACTGGGAAAGACAAATATCCACAACACACAAACTAATATCTACTATCTGTATATCATAAACAAGTATTACAACTAGCCAAAACAAGTATCCACAACACACAAACTAATATCTGTTATTTGTACCCTAACCCTAAACCCTAAACTTTAAACTCTATCACCCTAATCACTAAACACTAAAAAAATAAAACACATGAACTAAGGGAATGTTTCCTCAGGTTCAAATAAATATCCGCACAACCCGGCTAAATATCCGCAGGTTCAAATAAACTCTATCACCCCAAACTCTAAACCCTAAACCCTGAACCCTAAACCCTAAACAATGAACACTACTAAATAAACTCTAAAAACAATATAATTAGGAAAGAATAGATATTCACACTGACCAGACTAAATCTTAAACCCTAAAGAGAACCCAAACTCTTATGTTGAAACATTAACCCTAACCTCTATACCGTAAACCGTAAACCATAAACCAAACCTAGTAATTAGTAATTAAGCAATCAACTTTCACGGGGAACTTGGATTTGTATGTATGACCAAGAATGATAAAACAATACCAAAAAGTTAGTGGTAGAGTATTTTGTGTTGAATCCGTGGTGTACCTGTCATTTCAGTTGTTTCACTACGGGGAAAACAATCTGAAACCATGCTGCTCAGATTCAATTAAATATCCAGACAACCCAGAAAAATATCCAGACAACCCAGACAAATATCCAGACAACCCAGACAAATGATTTAAAATACCTATCAGTTCCTTAGTAAAAAGTATTAAAATCTTTTCAAAAAATATCCACAACACACAAACTAATATCTATTATTTGTACCCTAACCCTAAACCCTAAAGTTTAAACTCTATCACCCTAATCACTAAACACTAAAAAAATAAAACTATTATTGTTTTCCGAAGCTGAGAATATTCAAAGGTTCCACAAAAATATCCAAACACATGAACTAAGGGAATGTTTCCTCAGGTTCAAATAAATATCTGCACAGCCCGGATAAATATCCTCGGGTTCAAATAAACTCTATCACCCTAAACTCTAAACGCTAAACACTGAACCCTAAACCCTAAACAATCAACACTACTAAATAAACTCTAAAAACAATATAATTAGGAAAGAATAGATATTCATACTGACCAGACAAAATCCTAAACCCTAAAGAGAACACAAACCCTTATGTTGAAACCTTAACCCTAACCTCTATACCGTAAACCGTAAACCATAAACCAAACCTAAACAATCAACCCTAAAAAATAAACCGCTCATCAATAAAAACCATTATTATTTAATGGGCCTTCGGCCCATGGGCCCTCGGCGGGCAGCCCTAACTAAGGTTGCAAGCCTTACGTGTTAGGACTTGATAGTGTGTAGGACTTGCTAGTGTGTTTAATTTGATGTAAGACACAATATTCAAATCTTTCACAAATTGAAAACCAGAACTCTAAACCCTAAAACTAATTCTCTAAATTGGTTTAATCAGTTTATGTTGGTTGGGTGATTTTGGGCCGCCGTTAAACATTAATACGACCCAAAATTTCAACAATGATGCAAAGCACTATCAACATAACAGAAATTAATATCCATTCAGAACAAATAAATATCCACACAGAATAACATACATAAATATAACATGGGCCCATCAAATTTGGTTCTCTTTCCACTCCTATCATTCTCCCGCCCAAAACTCAAGCCGGGCCCACCAGCTTGCCAGCCACTTTCAGCCATTCTCAACCGAAGCCACTTGTTGGGCTGGCTTCTACCTATTGGCCCACCTACAGCTCACTTAAGTGAGCCACTACCAAGCCGCCTCTCCCCTCCATTGGATCAAATACCCGCCGACGTGGCTCTTCATCCTACCCTGTTAGTATATACTAACACTTTGCCCTGTTAGCAGAATAACTTCTGCGAAGAATAGGAAAAAAGAAAGGGGCATATGGGAACTGGATTTTTATTTGACGCTCTATCTTTTTAAAATTATCGTTCTAAGCCCTAATCAAATGACCTTTTTGCCCCTTGGCCCTAACAGAACCCAAAACGGATCTTTCCCCTGTCGAATTCCCCTACCCTTCCCCCAACTCCTCGGCCGCCGCCGAGCTAGCTAACACCCTAAACAAATCCCCACCCAAAACTATACCCGCCGCTACTTTTATGTTGCCGAACAATAAACCCTCACCCCTCAACCAATCATCATCGTCAATCACCCACCAAACCCGACCCCCGCAGTCGAGCCAAGGAGGAAGACAATCGTTGGCGTTGCTGCCCTGCTGCTGTCGAGTCAACTAGGAAGGAGCATCCACATCCTTTGCCGCCAACTCCATCGGATCCTTCATTGATCACCAAAATAGGGAAAAAGGATTAATTACAATAAATTAAGCATAATTAATGTGATAATTAGTAACTATTAATACCTTGTTGATTATGATGGTGGTGGTGCGGAAGCGGCGGAGTGGTAGAGGCGGGAGGAGGCGGAGGACCTCTGTTGGCGGCCAGCACCGGCGGATGAAGAATCAATTAATGGGGGGAATTGAAGGGGAGTGGATTAGGGATTGTCGGTGAGCTTGTCGGAGATTATGACGGCTCCATTATCTGCCCGGTGGGCAGGGTAGGTGGCCATGGGAATTTTTTTTGAACCTACGCATAAGAAGGGTATGAATGTGATTTCACCAGTAGTTAGGGCGATTTTTTTGAATTCTTAGGGCGGTGAATAGTAAAGAACATTATATTCTAACACAGAACATAAAGAAAAACTCCCACATTTTACAAAAAAAACCTCCCATTAGTCATTTATTCCACCACCGCCGACTTGACCCTGCCGGCCGCCATCCACCACTTTCCGATAGAGGAAAGGAACCCGAGAGTTATATTTTCCAGACCCTCGATGTTTCAATAAAAGTTGTCGACGCAACCTAATGTTACCACCGCTGTTGCTTTCCGAAAGAGGTTGATGATGGTGGCCACGGGCAACTTGAGATAGACAAACATAACTTCCACCAGTTTTGCATCGGATGCCATGAACAGAACCAATTTCTTCTCCCTGTTCATGATCTTCTTGACCTTATTTGATTAGCATATCACCCAACTGGCAACTTTATCATCTTTTGCAAATAGAAGCTTGAAGATCGAGCTGTGAGCAAAGGGGTGGGAAATGAGATGCACCTGGGAGAAGTAACTGATGATACGGTGACGTTTTCGTCCCAAGTTCATACGACAAGACATGCTGCACTTAAGTTCCACACGACGACGTATTGGACTCCAACAGTCACTCGCTTCATCGTCCTTCTAAGTCTACTGAATCGAGCAGAACTGATCATACACTCAACCCTAGCCTCTCGATCATAGCCTCCCACCTACCTACATGAAACGGCGAAAAAGCTCAACTCTGATCGTCGGTGATGAAGCACAGACATCACCGACATCCCACCAAAGACA